AAGCAGAGATAAGAACCCCCCCCTCCCTCCCTCCCTCCCTCCCAAATACTCACCCCTTATATCACTTTCATTTTTCCTTCTTACCAAAATCTATAGCGGGATTTGCTTTCACATGCGAGTGAGAGAGAAAAACATACATGGAACAAGAGAGGAATATAGATAAGAGTCCTTGAGTAAATTTCGTGTAAAAGCATATAAATTTTCGTATCATAATGAGACTAGGTAGAAAAAAATGCAAGCCATGCAAGGCCATAACGACATATTGTTCGGCACTGAGTTTTGGTGGGCAGACAAGACTGGACGGGCAAGAATGGGGTATGCGTGGTAAAAGAGTTGCGGAGGTTTTAGGGTTTTAATTTGACATGAGTACTTAAGTAATTTACATATTTTGTCACATCACCCAGATTTTTATTTCACCTCTTTCGGGGGAACTCACTCCTGCCTGTACTGTCTGTCCCGGTCTAATGTCGTGCCAAACATGGGACAACAAATTTTTGTTCTGTATTGTCCCATCATATCCTGCATACCAAATACACCCAAAATAACTGTTTCAAGATGGCAAACGAGCATACCCTATCTTTGTCCATTGACCGATTGCAACGTTGGGGCCAACAACAGCTCCCGATCCTACATGAACATTTCCGCCCACTAGAGAACCTGAATGGACTACTGCACCAAAATCTATTAATGCAGTAGGATCAATGCTAGCCGACTTGTGAAACATCCCTCCTCCTTTGTGCCATTTCAAAAATTCATGGTGATCCCTTTCAACGGCATCTTCTAATCTTGGACTGTAAGCATCTACACAATACCCTTGTGAGTTAATATACTATCATACCAAATTCACCAAACTAAAAACCAAATTGTTCATAGAGGCATTTCATCAAACACCTGAGATGCAAAGATATATGGGTCAAGGGAAACAAGAACAACCAACCAAATCATATTAAAGTGCATAAAACAAAACTGGGTTCAGCTCACCGGAGACTATTTGTCCGGTTAATCCGGCAGAACAAGCAGAGAAATCATAGCGGCTAGTAAAACATGAGATGAGTTTCTCCGGTAACGAAACGTGTGACACATGAATATACGATTTTCGATAAATTGGGTTGAAGATTGAAGTTGAGGAGCTAATAAGATTGTGTAATCGCTTGATATGAATTGCCATTGACGATATTTACCAACAAAAGAAGATGGAATCAATTCAAGTCGAACCCTTTTTTAGTACTACCATAACTATAGTCCAGTAAAAAAGGGGGAGGTTTATAGTCTTTAAAGAAATAGATGAAGGTGCAGGAAAACCTCAAGAAAATGGAAAATCTATGGAATCAACAATCTCTCTTATTTGGACTTGTTTTAAAAGTTCACTTGTTATTCAATAAAAACGATTATGTTTTATTGTATTTAATTACTTATTCAGGGGTTTAGTTCAGGCAAATGAATGAAAATAGGTATGAAAATAACAGGGAATGAACGCTTTAACCTGTAATGAAAATTTGGGCTTTTGCATGTTTGGTATGAATTTTATGTGGAACAGACAGGAACAGAGTGGAACAAAGTGGAACAGGCTTGTTCCACCCTTACCCCATGGCACAGGGTGGAACAAGATGGAACATACTTATATTTTACTAATATAACCTCAAAATAAAACTTAATTCTCTTCTAAAACATCAAATAAGTCTCTTTTTTATATTTTATTCATTCTTTAAATTTTATTTATTGTATTTTATGTTTCTTAAACTTTCATTTTACTTCTTTTATGGGCTCGAGGCAAGACAAGCAGCCTGCTTCGCTTCCTGAATTGCTCAAGGAACAAGCAGTAAGGATCATGGCGATCTCCTTTGATACCTACTGGTACGTCAGGATCCGAGTGGTAAAGAATCTGTGAAGTTTGATTCCAAAAGTGATAAAAAGTGACCAGGTTTCTCTCTTTTGGTGGTAAGCTCACTCTCTTAAAATCAGTCATTTCCCCTATTCCTATACATGCCTTGGCAGTGCAATCTCCCCCTAAGACTGGGGTTTAAGAACCCCACCGTGGTTTTCTTCTCCTAGTTTTTATTTTAAGGGCAAATAGCATGAAAAAGTAACATACTTTAATTTGATTTTTATTTTGGGTAACGTACTTTTAGAATTTCCATTTTGGTACATAAGCTGTAAGGTGTTAAACATTTAAGTACTTGGGTAACCGATTGAAACATTAATTGGTTATCATGCTGATGTGGTATCCAACTAAGTATTATTTGCTGATGTAGTTGGTGACACAGATTTTTTTTTAATCTAAAACTAGTCTTTTTTTTTAATCTAAAATTAGTTTTCAACGATTACCTGGGTACTTACATATTTAACACTTTACATCTTATGTACAAAAATGGAAGTTCTGAAAGTACGTTACCCCAAATAGGAATCAAGTTAAGGTACATTACTTTTTCATTTAATCTGCCCTTCTTTTAGTAAGTCGAGTTTTCTTGTTTGTACAGATACAAGTGACATGACAGAACAAAGTATGTTATCTCACGTTCAGTACAACAAGATGGCAAGACCCAGATGGTAAAAAAATGTAATTTTTTATCCCATCAAAATAGGTGTAAAAAATCAAACAGATTGAACAAAACTGACAAAATACTAAATTATTCATATTAAATTAAAACTCCAAAAGCTTCAATAACACTTTTACCCGCCTATTTCACTCTCGCTCACATAATCTTATCGAGTCTAATTAAGTATGGAATTTAAGTGTAAAAAAAGGAATAAAGAGTCACTATCTATCCTCTAAAAAACTAAGGGGCCGTTTACCAAACACTTACCCGATAAATGCTTACTGGTAAAATTTAATACTATTGTTTACTTATCGAGTAAGGTTTTAGTCCACCAAAACGACATCGTATGCAATAATTTACTTGGTAAGCTCTTACCGTGGTAAGAGTCGTCGCCCTCACTTACTGGGTAAGACTCATGATTCTTGTCTCGCTCTTACCGGGTAAGATTCTTGGTCCTTGCCATATTCATCCGGTAAAGTAACGCGACTTGGTAAGCGCTTACCTGGGTAAGTGTTTGGTAAACGACCCCTAACTTGTGGTGTTTTCTACTTTTCTCAATAGGTTTTTTGGTAAAAAGCAAGCATCGGAAAACCTGTGAAAAAGTTAGAAATATTAGGTGAGGGACTTTATAACATGTCCGCAATTACCGGGACCAAATAAGTAAATTAGTTATAGATATGCAAAAATATGCCTGTGCTTTTTAGAATTTACATATTTGGTCCCTGTAATTACAGATCTAGTTCAAAAACTTCTTTTTTTTTTCCTTACTTTGACCCTTCAACAAATTGCAGATCTATCAATTACAGACCTATGACTATTTTCATTATTTCGAAAGAGAAATGCCTATTAGGTGAAACCATACGGTCAAAATGACGACTTTAATTAATTTCTCTTTTTAAATTCTTATTATTTTTTCTCAATTCTAAAAAATAATTGGAAAAAATTGTTGAAACAAAAAGTAAAAGTAAAAGAAAAACTCCAGATTTTTTATCTATACTATATTATAAAACATTTGACAAATACTCTTAAAAACCAATTTTTATGCATGAAATATTGTTTATTGATGCATATTACTTAAAATTCGAGATTACAAGTAAATTGTGTGTAATTACAACTTATTAAAACTTTATGTTTGAATTTGTGTAACTAATTGCAAATAAACATAATCAACTATAAGATAAACATCTCATTTTTAAATATAAAAAAACTAAAATATAATTAAGATAATTATTAAGTTGCACTTATAACAGAATATTTAGTTATTATCCTTATAAAAATTATATTATTAAACTAAAAATAATTATTTCGTTATTAATCTTAAATTAAATTATAATAAAATTTTTGAATTAAAGAAATTACATAAAGAACTAGATTTTGTAAATAGTTAATTTCATACTAATATCGATATATTTTTTTTAAAATTTTTATGAATATAAACATTATCGCTTTCTCAAAATCATATAAAATCGTTTATATCGACAGAGACAAAACAACAAAACAAAACATTATCTCAATGTATTTTGCTGTATTGTACGAGTATTTTTCTAATTTCTTTAATAAATTAACGAAAGTTGGACGTGCCTTAAATACACTCTACAATTGACCGATTTATTTTTGACTTTTGACTTTGACCCATAAAATAAAAAAAATACAAAAAATTAAAAAAAATACTTAAAATTGACTTTTGGCTTTTGACTTTGACCTACACCAATGATTTCTCAATCAATATTTTTATTTAAAAATAAATAGTAAAACTGATAATAATTTTAAAATTACATTAAAAAAATGACAATCACGAAAACCATATCCATAATTTTATTTAGTCATAATTTTTCACATACAACAGGGTTCAAATCCGCAAACCATTCTTTTATTTATTAGGGTAAAATGAATGAAATAGCAACCTACTTTTATAAATTTTTTATTATATTATTTTACTTTTAGTTTTTTCTTATTAGAACAATATACTTTCAAAATAATTTTTATTAGAGTATTATACTTTAAATTTTTTATCCATTATAGCATTAGGTAGGGGTGCTCATGGGTTGGTTGATCGGGTTGAGGATATTTGAACAACCCAATCCAATGCTTACGGGTTGGAAAAATCTTAACCCAACCCAACCCAAACCAAAGTGCAACCCAACCGAACCCAACGCGTACGAGTTGGTCGGGTTGATGCTTTGAAATATTAAAATATTCTTTTAACCTTGAATATGTTATTTCTCTACTCATAATTTCTTTTTCATCATCAACCATTTGATACAACTTATTCATATTTCTTACGTATATCACATTCAGTTAATTTTCTCAATTTACATATGTATGTTCATAGTTACATGATGAGTTATATAGATATATGAATAGATTGAAAATATATGTATATGAAAAGCATACATGATAGTGTAATTGTCTAATATATATATTAATAGAAATTCAACAATCATATTAAATCCAAGAAATAAAAGGATATTGGGTTCATCGGGTTGGGTTGAGTTCAAATAATAGTAACCCAATATCAACCCAATACCTACGGTTTGATAATTTTACAACTCGATTAGACATCGAGTTGCTTTGGGTTTAGTTATTTCGCATTGAGTTGGGTTGAGTTGGTCGGGTTTTTTTAGCACCCCTAGCATTAGGTAATCTTTAAAATTAAATTTACCTATTATATCAGGTTTATTTGTCACCTCATCGTCCATTTAGACTGTCCATATGTACGACAGTGATGAAATAACATTTCTTATTATAACATTGTACTTTTAAAATTACTTTATTATAACATCACTAATTTTTATTACAACATTGTACTTTTAAAATAATAAAAGTTTGTTACATTTGCTTAAGTAAAAAGGTATTTTTGATCATATTTATCATTTTATTCAGGTTCAATTTTATTTTATTAAAACACCTTTCAAGTGTTTAATTATTGTTCAAATACATGTTTCACTTTTATATTAAAAAAATAAAAAATTTGATACTTGTGAGATATTTCCAAAAACTTGATTATGGTGATTCTTAGAAATAATCACGTCATCATATCGAAAATAATTAGGGTGTTGGTACAATGATTTTTAATCAACGATTTAATATTAAAAAATTCAAATACTTTGATGGTTAATCAGTCAGTTTAATATTTTACTAGAAGGATACTTGTGTAATGCATCGAGACAAATCTTGATTTCAATGTTTTGTTTTATTCTTTTTTATGTCAATATAATACAGTTTTATGTGGTTTTGAAAAAAACGATAATGTTTTTATTTTTGAATAAAATATAAATTTGAAAATATTATAAAATTTTGAAAAAAAATTATATCGATATCAGTATCAAATTAATATTTTTAAAAGTTATTGTGTTTCGGTGTAATTTCTTTAATTCAATTTTTTTAATTATAATTTAATTTAGATTTACCAACAAAGAAATTTAATTTAGGTTTAATAATATAATTTTTATATAGATAATAACTAAATATTCTGTTAGACCTCAATGATTATCCTAATTATATTTTAGATTTTTTATATTTAAAATAAAATGTTTATCCAATATTTGATTATGTTTATCTGCAGTTAGTTACATGAATTCAAATATGTAGCTTTAATAAGTTGTACTTATGCACAATTTACTTGTAATCTTAAATTTTAAGTAATATACATCAATAAACAGCACTTCATGCATAAAAAATGGTCTTTAAGAGTTTTTGTCAAATGCTTTATAATGGTTGTGAAGAGGAGAATTTCCGGGTGAATTGATAATGTCGACAGTTATGGTGATGGGGAGTTCGTTCGGATTGGGATTGAAATAGGAAAAAGATGATTGGGATTTTGTGGTTAGGTTTAGCGATGAGGAAGGTTGTTCTTAGCAGGGCGTTGATAACGACCATTGATGCGAATGCAGCAAAGGAGGAGGAGGAGAGGCCGAGATGGATAAGGGGAACAAGGGGAGAGATACGTTTGATCTTTTGAAAACATGTTTAATTTCTGATATTTTAAATTTTAGGAAACATATTTGATGAAATTTACAATGTTTAAATGATAAAAATATTATAATTAAAAGCATAATGTTGTAATAGAAATTCGTGATGTTATAATAAAGTAATTTTGAAAGTATAATATTATAATAAGAAATGTCATGTCAGGACTATCGCTTTCTCAAAACCACATAAAACTGTATTAAAATGTCGGCTGAGACCAAAAAAAAAAACGAAACATTAAAATCAAGATGTATCTCGCTGATTATGCAAGTACTATTGTAGTTATTGTTGAGATAGGTAAGAATCTTTCTCCATTGTGCATTGTAAATTAAGACTTGGACCCGAACAAATTGACCCAACACAAATAAATACAAAATTGACAAGTAAACGTTGAACGGCAAAAAGTATTTAAAACAATAAATAAAACTTATAATTTTTTAGACCCTTTCAAAAGCTATACATAAATAATATATATATATATATATATATATATATATATATATATACACACACCAATCAATATGAATAATAACCATCTTATGTATTTCATTTTTACAAGAACATGTTGAGGATAACTGAAAAAATCATGTTGTTTTTCATCGTTATTGTCATAAATTTATTTCCCCTTTTCGTCTCACAAGATATTATATACCCTACTTGTGATGAAAGCGCAAATTTCACTATAAATGGTACATACCAAAGAAATCTTGACAATGCTTTGTTGTCCCTCATCTCTGATACTAGCATTACATACGGATTCTACAACCGGTCCGTTGGAGAAACCCCAGATCGAGTTCATGTTATCGCGCTATGTAGAGGTGATGTTGATCAAGACGATTGTCGCAGGTGCATAAATGGCTCTATTACAAGACTAAGAGAGATTTGCCCTAACCAAAAGGGTGCAATAGGATGGTATGATACGTGTATGCTAAGGTACTCTAATCTACCCATTTGGGGAAATCCAGGCAGTATGGATACACGGTTCCAGGCAAACCCTCAGAACACGTCAAACGTGGACCAATTTAATCAAGGGCTTTATCCGTTGTTGGATCAATTAATAGTTGAGGCATCTAGTGGTGGGTCTCTCCGTAAATATGCTTCCAACTATACACGTGGTCGTGGGGGCTCAAGGATCTTTGGGATCATGCAGTGTACACCGGATTTGTCTGAATTCCAATGTTATAATTGCTTGGATCGTACAATCCAACTCATTCCAGTTTGTTGTGATGGCAGACGTGGACTAAGAGTTCTATATCCTAGTTGCAACCTAAGGTATGAAGATTACAGTTTCTTTGATGAAATGGTGGTTCTTCCCCCACCACCATGGCCGCAATCTCCTCCACGACCATCGCCACAATTGCTTCCACCGCCACCATCGCCATTAGGTATATACATTCTTGCCATCCTAGTTTGTATAACTTGGGACAAAATAATGCATCGTTCGAAAATTTTAATAATCTTTTAAAGAAAATATGAGATCAAAGCGATAATAGAGTATTAACACATGTATTATAGTGTGGGGATAGTTTCACTAATGTTCTTTACTTTTTTGATGAGATTTCAGGCAAGACTAACAACACGTCTATAACTGTAATTGCTATCGTTGCAACCCTTAGTCTTGTGATATTGGTCGTGCTTTTCGTTTTCGTCTTCATAAGAAGAAAAAGAAAGCTCGAAGGACGACCTGCAAATAATTTTGGTGAGTACTAGTGGTTTCTTTTTCTTTGTTACTTCATTGGGCAGCATTATAATTAGGCTTCCACTTATTTCAAATTTTGCAGTTTACGAGGACGTAGATATCAATGAAATTAGTACAACCGAATCTTTGCAGTATAGCTTTGGTATCATTAGAGAAGCAACAAATGACTTCTCAGAGAGCAATAAGCTTGGACAAGGTGGATTTGGTTCGGTTTACAAGGTAAACAATGCACCGTTTTGTAATTACTTGGTATGCGAGGGAATATTTGCAATAGAAAATCATTTTCAAGATTTATGTGACCATTATTTTTAGGGAAAGTTACAGAATGGAAAAGAAATAGCAGTGAAGAGGTTGTCGAAGGATTCAAGACAAGGCGAACAAGAATTTAAGAACGAGGTCCTGTTACTTGCAAGGCTCCAACATCGAAACCTGGTTCGTCTCCTAGGTTTCAGCACAGAAGAGTCTGAACGAATCTTGATATATGAGTTTGTACAAAATGGAAGTCTAGACCAATTTATATTTAGTAAGTTGAATATTATCCAAGTTATACTTTAGAAAATTTATGATTAACTTACAGAAGTTTAGTCTTTTAATGGTAAATTTGTGTTCGATCTTAACATTTTCAGATCCAATGAAGCGTGCAGCTCTAGATTGGGAAAGACGATACAAAGTAATACAAGGTGTTGCAAGGGGACTTCTATACTTACATGAGGATTCACGATTAAAGATAATTCATCGAGATTTGAAAGCTAGTAATGTTCTGTTGGATGCCCAAATGAATCCGAAAATTGCAGATTTTGGTATGGCAAGGTTATTCACATGTGAAGAATCCCAAGGCAACACTAGTCAAATTGCCGGAACCTAGTAAGTCTCACTACAAAAAATGTCAATAAATGTTTCTTTATTATCGTTAGATGCAAAAATTCATGGTTTGTGAAAATATGATTACGATCATTATTTTGTCTCTAATATTTTTCCGTCACAAAAACTTAAATATATGGTAGTGAAAGATGCGAGTAGTGAATTCCTGCTCATGTACTAATCCGCGCGATTCTTGTTATACTAGTGGCTACATGGCACCCGAGTATTTAACGCATGGACAATTTTCGGTAAAATCAGATGTCTTTAGTTTCGGTGTACTAGTACTCGAGATAGTAATGGGTCAAAAGAACAGTAGTTTCCAAGACGAAATGGTGACAGAGGATCTTCTAAGCCATGTAAGTGTTGATATATAACATCTAGTATTCGTTCAAATATATACTTTTCCTTTGTTCATCTATTTTCTTTTGTTGCAATTTGTACGTGTTTAGGCATGGAAAAGTTGGAAAGCGGAAACGACTTCAAGTTTAATTGATCCTACACTCATCATGAAAGATGGTCCTATTTCCTTACGTGATATGATAAGATGTATCCATATTGGCTTATTAGGTGTTCAAGAAGACGCTATCGAGAGACCAACTATGGCTTCAGTTGTTCTCATGCTTAGTAGCCTCTCTATAACCCTCACGTTCCCTTCAGAGCCTGCTTTTTTCTTGCATACAGGTATGAATCCAGAAAACCCCCTATTTGAAGAGTACGCTTCAAGCACAAGTAATTCTAGCTATTCAAAAAATAAATCCAAATCTTCACGGGGATCTATAGCACGTGATATTTCTTTGTATGACACATATTCACCATAGAAGAATATATGATTATTGTATTACTGTAATGTGATACTGATGATTTTTAGAATCAACTTTACAATGTAACGATTTATTAATACTTAATAACAAAATGTGAATGACAACTCAAAATTTCTATACCACCTCGGCGCATTTTGTCCACAATAACTAATAACTAGGTTAACATCATGTCAACATTTGATTGTAATTAGGGAAATTGACTAAAATAGCCATTTCGGTCGAGTGAATTCATATTTTAGTCATTTATCTCCCACACTTTTTAAGAAATCAATACCTCTGCAAGTGACAATTCAGCAATTTACGGAGGGACAAAAAAAAAGAATTTCACAGGGTTTCGCAAGTGCCAGCTCAACAACTTACCAAAGTGCCAAAAAATGAGAAAATAAATGCAAACGTTAGGTTGTGCTGAGTCAAATGTGCTCCGTTTTTTTTTCCAATCCCAAGTAAGATCGGTCCAGGATCATGCGATTGCGAAGGTGTTGCTTGCGGCATGTCACTTCCATTAGATGATGCATGAGCATGTCACTTGCGGAGGTGCTAAAATTTTTGATGCATAAGCATGACACATATAGCTTTTTAAATATTTCTAATAGGCTAATATTATTTTATCGTTTTTGAAAGTGGCTTCTACTGTATACTTGATATATTTTTTCTTTCCAAGAGTGGTCCCTCTGCAAATTGCAGTAAGGCCACTTACAAAGGTGATGACTTTTTGAAAATCTTGGAAGATAAATGACTAATGAGCCATTTGACAGTTGTTGAATGGTTTGATATCTAATAATTAAGTAATTAGAATGATTAAGAGACTCTTATGAGACAGTGCAAAATGAAATAGATTGTTCGGTAATTATTTACAATGAGATTAGGGTGCTGAATGGTTAGGGGAGACTAAAGATATAAAATCATTCAAAGGATTTTAAAACCATTAAGAGACGGACTCTTTTTTTGCCAAACAAGATTCATCTTTTAACGATTTAGAGACTATCTTCTAATGAAACTATTAAGAGGTAAACAAACAACCAATAAGAGATAATTTCTTTGGGGTTGTTTGTTTACCTCTTAATAGTTTCATTAAGAGGCAACATCTGAATCATTAAGAGGTGAATCTTGTTTGGCAAAAAAAAAAAAATCTGTCTCTTGATGGTTCTAAAACCATTTGAATGATTTTGTATCCTGAACCTACCTTAACCATTAAGCGTCCTGATTTCATTGTAAACAATTACCAAACAATTATATTTTATTTTRCACTATATCATGAAAGCCTCTTAATCATTCTGACCACTTAATCATTCTGCATCAACTGTCAAACAATCTCTTATTATTATTTTTTTCAATTTTAAAAAATGTTTTGAAAAAAATGTTGAAACAAAAAGTAAAAGAAAAACTCGAAATTCTTTAATAACAAAAGTTGGACGTGCCCTAAATGCACTCAACAATTACACCCACTTTTGACTTTTGACCCATAAAATAAAGAAAAACAAAAATTAAAAAGATATTTAAAATCGACCTACACCAATCATTTCTCGATCAGTATTTTTATTTAAAAATAAATACTAAAATTGATAATAATTTTAATTTCCCCTCCCCTCCCCTCCCCTCCCTGGTCCCGATTTCTTTTCGTAGACAAATCGATGAATCCTCTCGGTCTCTATCTCTTACGACGATCCCATGCTTCTCTCCTTTGTAGCGATTTTCAACCACATCGTCCATCTTCTTCGTGATTTCCCGCCCCTTTCACCGTGATTTCCAACGAACTCTAATTGGTTAGAGCCAACAATCGTTAGTGGCAAACTATGGGGGCTTTTTGGAATAAAAGATTTCTCGAGACTAGAACCAAGACAACTTCTAAGTACAAGGACCAAAACCATAATTTACTTTTAAAATTGTTTAGTATATTTAATTCGAAAACGGGTTTTGGACACTTATGGCAAAGAACGTTTTTCCAAAAACGTCGATAAGAGTTGTTTAAACAAATTCATAAGAGGTTCTTATTCATTAATTGAACTTCTTAACGATATATAGCAAACCAGGGATGACCAATTACGTTATAAAAGGGAATAAAAGATGTATGTGTAAGAAAGGTTGGGTTCACGTGAGATAAAATTGTTTTCGTGAAACAACATTTTTACACTTGAAACTTCACAACAAAATGTTGTGGAGGTAAAAAAATCCGATCTTTCACACTAAAAACACTGTGAAAGTTACGTTCACAGTGTTTTGCTGTAAAGTTTCAAGTGTAAGAAAGTTGTCTCACGGAAACAACATTGTCTCACATGATTTCAAGTCTGTGAAAAATATTATATTCATTATTAGATTTTTCTAGGAAAAATCAACAACTTTTGACAAACAAAATCAAAACTTTGTTTCAAAATTCAAACATTGACCAAGTAAACGTTTACTTAAACAACTCCTTTCTCCATCAACATCATTATTCAGAAATAATAATAAAACCCATAATGTTTGCATTTGCCATTTCAAGAAACATAACATGAACAACATCCATAGTTTTCCATTTTGTTGAGACCATGTTGATGGTAATCCGAGTGTCGATTTCGTTTTTTGTTGTTATTATCGTAAATTTATTCGTGCTTTCGGTCTCTCAATGCAACAATGACGCGAACTTCACTTCAAACGGTGCGTATCAAAGAAATCTTGACAATGCTTTGTCGACCCTCACCTCTAATACCACTATCACATACGGCTTCTATAACCGGTCTGTTGGTGAAAACCCCGATAAAGCCAACGTGATGGCGTTATGTAGAGGTGATGTTGAGCGAGATGATTGTCGCAGGTGCATAAATGACTCTAGAAGAAGACTAAGAGAGAGTTGTCCTAACCAAAAGGGTGCAATGAATCTATGGTCGGATGGGAATTGTATGGTGAGGTACTCTAATGAACCCATTTTGGGAAATCCAGACATTAATAGTCCGGTTATCTACATGAACCCTAACAACGCGTCGGGCGTGGATCGGTTTAATCAAGCGCTCAACCAGCTGTTGAACCAACTAAGAAATAATGCTTCGAGTGGTGGGTCTAGTCGTAAATATGCTTCCGGGACCAGCACAAATGGCCCTTGGTTGACAACCATCTATGGGGCCATGCAGTGCACACCCGATTTATCCGAGGGTCAGTGTGAAAATTGCTTGAATAGTGCAATGCAACAAATCCCAAATTGTTGTGATGGAAAACTTGGAGTAAGAGTTATATATCCTAGCTGCGATCTCAGGTATGAAAATTACTCGTTTTTTAAAGCTACACTGGCTCTTGCACCACCACCACCGCCAACGGAGTTGTCTCCACCATCGCCGCCACCATCAGGTATATATACGTTTGGCCAACATCCCGTATATATAGAATGAACACTATGCAACAAGAATTTGCACTACAAGAAAAATAACCTTCAGAGAAGATATCGTTTTGTACTTAAAAGTTTTAAAAGCTTCTATAAAGCCTTTAGATAAGCTTTTCAATTTTGTCAAAGAGCTTCTGTGTGTAACGGTAAGTAAAGGTTTTAAGGAGGGTTTCCGAAGGGTGCGTTTTTGTTAGCCTTTAGAGACGCTTATTTGAGGCTTTAGATACACGTCCAAAACTTTTCTAAAGGTTAGTCAAATTTTTGTTCAAAGCTTCTCTGAAAGTATATATATTAGTGACACTTTTAAAGTATTTGTGACGGTTTATAAGAGTTACTAAAAGATACTTTATAGTAGGTAATGAAAAAGCTTATCTAAAGATATTGGCTTTAGTGACACTTTTAAAAAACGAACTTCGAAAATCTAATATATAGTTTTCTTTTGAGAAAATCGGAGATCGAAAGGAGAGAAGAGTATAGTAACACCACTGTTGTGGTCCTAGTACAATTGCACTAATGTTCTTTTTCTTTTCCAATGACATTTTCAGACAAAAGTAGTAACACGTCTATAATAATCATCATTGTCGTCGTTGCAACCATTAGTCTTGTGATATTGGTAGCGACTTTCGTTTGCATATTCAAGAGAAGAAAAAAGAACATCGAAGGACGGCTGTCGCAGAATCTAGGTGGGTTTTTGTTAATTTTTTTCTTACTTCCTGCATGTTACAACCTTAGCCTTTGCAGTTCCTTAATATTTTGTGACGATAATTCTAGTTTACGAAGACGTAGACGTTGATAAAATTACTACAGCCGAATCGTTGCAATATAGCTTTGCTGTCATTAGAGCAGCAACAGATGACTTTTCAGAGAACAATAAGCTTGGACAAGGTGGATTTGGTTCTGTTTATAAGGTAAACAACACACTACAAGATATAAACTATTGTGCCATGGAAGACCATTTTCAAGATTAATTTTAGAAACCAATAATTCTAATGAACCAAAATTCTCAGGGTAAGTTACCAAATGGGCAAGAAATAGCAGTGAAGAGGTTGTCGAATAACTCGGGACAAGGTGAACAAGAATTCAAGAACGAGGTTTTGTTACTTGCAAGGCTCCGACATCGGAATTTGGTTCGTCTCCTAGGGTTTAGCCTCGAAGGGTCTGAACGACTTTTGATGTATGAGTTTCTACAAAATGCAAGTCTAGATCAATTTATATTCGGTAAGTTGACTTTATTGAGCTTATATTTTTCGAAAGATTGCTTTTAATTTCTAGAAATGCATTCTTTTGATGATATATTCATTCTTGATTTTCAAAATATCTAGATCCAGTGAAACGTGCAAGTCTAGATTGGGAAWTACGATACAAAATAATACATGGTGTTGCAAAGGGACTTCTATATCTACACGAGGATTCACGGCTAAAGATTATTCATCGGGATATGAAAGCTAGTAACGTTTTACTGGATGTCAATATGATTGCTAAAATTGCGGATTTTGGTATGGCAAGGTTGGTCACGCTTGAAGAAACACAAGTCAACACTAGTCGAATCGTCGGAACCTAGTAAGTCTTACTGTAAAAACATGTCGTTCAATGTTGTTTCATTTATCGTTATTTGCAAAATTCGTTGTTAAAAGATTGTTATCTGAATTACCATTATATCCGGTGTCTACCATTTTTGCCATCACAAAGAGTAATGTGGTAGCGAAAATACTAACGGTTAACCTTCATCCTTGTACTAACTAACATGAACTTTTGTCGTACTAGTGGATACATGGCACCAGAGTATGCATTGCATGGACAATTTTCAGTTAAATCAGATGTTTTTAGCTTCGGTGTATTAGTACTCGAAATAGTAACCGGTTGTAAGAACCATAGTTTCCAAAATGGGACGATGGTGGAGGATCTTCTTAGCCATGTAAGTGTTGACACATAGCTTCTAATATTTCAAAAAAGTATATAAATTTTTTGGTTTATTTATTTGTTGCAATTTGTTCATCTTTAGGCATGGAAAAGTTGGAGAGATGGAACGATTTCAAGTTTAATTGATCCTACACTAAAAGATGGTTCAAATTCCCTGCGTGATATGATCAGATGCATCCACATTGGCCTACTATGTGTTCAAGAAGACGTTACTGATAGACCAACTATGGCTTCAGTAGTTCTCATGCTTGGTAGTCTCTCTCTAACGCTCGCCGTCCCTTCAGAGCCTGCTTTTTTCATCCATACGAGCAAGCCAGAACTACCCCTATTCGAAGAGTACACTTCAAGTACAGGTTCCAAGGTCGCATAACCAGACGGAAACTAAGTTCCCACTCACGACCCATGTAACAAGCTACACCAAGTAAGAAGTCCCGATAAATAAATATTGGTTCTTTTTGTTATGATACTGTCTGTGGGACTAATCGTATATTAAGATGGTAAAATGTTTGAATATTATACGTACACTTCGAACTGTTGACCAAGTAAAGAAGGCCAACACGAAATGCACAGCACATATATCACCAAACTTGGTCCTTATTAGCCATTAATTAGTCGATTGTCATGTCAACATTAGATTTTCTTTGTAGTATTTGAAAATATAGAAAACGTTACCTATCAATTGACCAAAAACATCATTTGAGTTTTTATTTTTAGTTTTAATTGACCTTTTCTTACCCACTTTCATCAACAACGACCACTAACTCCATATATCGTCCTAAAAAAATACCCAAAAGGAAATAAGAAAACATCACCGTTTGAAATAAAATCATCACTAGAAAAATCTAGGAGTCGCTGACTTATTCTCTATGCCGTCTCCCCCTTTACTGTTGACGATGAACGATTAAATCATTCAACGGTTAAACCATTCTGTTTGTTTCAGTTTTCCATCTAGGATCGAGCCTCATTGCAACGATGGGTCATTTGGATTTAGGATATCGTTAGATTTGAAGTTTTGGACCGGTAAAGTCCGACGAAACTTAAAATCTTGAGAAAGTAGGGTTTTGATTTATAATACCTTGGTTTTGTATTTTTATTTTTATGAATGAATTTAGATGGATTTTTGATATATGTTTATAATGTTTGGATTTGAATTTGCACAAACACCTTTTTGTATATATTCAGTGTTTTTGATGATTTCTTCTGACAGTATTTAGAAGCCTTTGATCGACCTTTTTATTTTTACGAAAAGTAAAGACAAAGAAGAAAGATCAAGAAAAGGGGTAAAAAGATATATATTTTCGGTTATGGTGAATTTCTTCATCTTTTCAGTTCCTAGACATCGATTCCCTCACTACAACGAAATCACATAATTTTTTTTTACAGAGTCATGCCAAATACGTTATAAAAGGGAATACAAAATGTATGTGCAAGAAAGGTTGGATTCACATGAGACAAGTCCGTTTTCATAAGACACGTGAGACAACATTGTTATACTTGAAACTTCACAACAAAATGTTGTGAATATAAAAAAAATCCGAACTTTCACAACAAAAACACTGTGAAAGTTACCTACATAATGTTTTGTTGTGAAGTTTTAAGTCTAAAAAAGTTGTCTCACGTGTCTCAAAAAACAACCTAATCTCACATAATTTCACATCTGTGTAAGAAACTCAGAAAATGCACTACTAGAAAACTGGGCATTTCCGGCGGAAAAATTCCGCCGGAAATTTTCCGGCGGATTTCCGGCGGAACTTTAAAAAGTCAAATTTTGTTGACTTCCGCCGGACAACCGCCGGAAATCCGCCGGTTAGATTTCCGGCGGATTTATTAATTAAGGGTTAATTAATCTTTAAAAACTAATTAATATATGAAAA